CTCCCTTCTGATACCCCTCTATATTCTGATACTGAAATTGGAGGTCTACCAATGAAATAGCAAGAGCCAATCACCCTACAGTGAAACTCTCCCAACCTGATGAGCCCAGCCTATGCACACACAGTTGCTTACTCTAAAATCTAACCAGATATGCATCTCAAATTTACATAGTGTTGTATGTCAAATATATTTCAATTAAAAAAACCCAACTAACCTGACAGGCAATGAAAGCCTCTCACATATAGACAGAGATCAAAACAAACAAAGAAAAAAAACTCAGAAGAAACAAAAATAGTATATAAAAAAAGAAAGTTTAAAATAACAGATCAATCCTTGGAAAGATAAGGTATGATATCATATCCATAAAACAGGAATAGGATGCTATAAAAAGGAACATTCAGAGAATATGAAAGAGCTTTTAGAAATTAAAAATATGATGACTGGAAAAAAAATCAACAGATGGAAGAAATACACTGAAGCTTTTTGTTTTATAAAAAAAGTTGAGAAAATAGGAAAAAATGCACAGAGATGGAAAGTAGGAGAAGCAAGTGTAGGATGAGTCTAAGAGGGCCTATATCCTAATACTTGTTGTCTCAGAAAGAGAGTAGAAAAATGAAGAGAAAAAAGTTACCATAGAAATAATTCAATATTTTTTCAAGACAGAAAAACAAATGTTTCCAGAATAAAAAAGCCCATTAAACGTCCAGTCCAATAAGCAAAAAAACCTGCACCAAGGCACAGAATTGGAAATTTTCAGAACACCAGGAACAAAGACAAGAGCCTAAAAGCTTTCAAGTAGTGAAAAGGGGTATTTTACAAAGGCTTAGGATACAGAATGGCACCAGACTTTCCCCACTGCCATTTTGGATGAGAAGGATAATTGAGCAATGCTTTCAAAATTCTGAGAGAAATGCCATCCAACCTAGAATTTTATACCTAGTCATACTTACAGTCAAGTTTGAATAGAGAAAAAAAGACATTTTCAGATGTGCAAATTTTTTTGTTGTTAATGTGTCTTCCATAAAGCTTTCTCAGTGGGCTCCTAGAGGTGAGATCCACAAAAAACGAAGTAACCAAGAACTAGTAAGATGTAGAATCCAAAAAAATAGAGGCTCCATCCATTGGACAAGCAAAGAAATTCGCAGAATAATGGTGAAGAAAAATACCAGGATAACACTGAAAAGTAGATCTACAGAACAACTAACCAACTTAGGCAGATGATTAAAGGGCTTAGAAGATGAAACTGAAGTTTCATTATCACAATACATGTTTGAGTATACTAAGGGGAGATCAACAGTTCTGCAGCATTTGGAGATGGCTTGATAATAACTACACACAAAAAAACCTCAGCAGATTTATAAAAAGGCAATTACTAAAATAAGCAAGAACAATAAAGGGTAACACAAGAAAGGAAAGGTACCCAGAGTACACTATGTGGCTCAGCTAATAATAATACTTACACAGCAAAAATAATGTACAAATTAAATACTGACTTAGCCAAAGATTATTATAAAGTTATAACAGAAAGAAAGGAGAAAGGCATTTATGTGAGTTTTGTGTGCATGTGGCCTTATTTGGGGAGGAAGGGCAAGAAGGAGTTGGTAAGAGATCTAAAGAAGCATCTTCCATAGTCATGGAGATAAAGCTAGTACAATAATATCTGAAATTAAAAAATAAAATCAGGAAATGTATTTTATCAAATTTGAGATATTACCCACTAAAAGGATCTCCATTATTCTGTGTACTTCTTAAAATGAAAATAATAAAAGCCAATTAAACTATGATATGTCGTCCCTTGCAAAGCCCAAAGATCTCAGAGGTATTAAAATGGAGGGGAGAGAGGGTTGGATGGTTTAGAAATATAGCCATGTATTCCACGAGAAACAACCAGCTAGTTCAACTAGGTTATCTCTGTGGAGATGGCATCCAGGTTGGGAGCGGGAGGCTGCCATTTTTGCTATAATCTATGTTGAACTGGTTGCCTTTTAAAAATATCATATGTGTAATTTTGACTAAGAAGTTTTAAATAAATAAGAAAATAATATATACCACAACCTACAATTTAAAAAAGCAAAACACTTTCACTGCTCAGGTGGCTCATGACCCTGGCTCAAATGTTACTTAATAACTATTGAGCATAAAAATATTTTGCAATTCTCATTATTTTACTACTCAGAATCAACTACAAACTGATAGAGAGCACTATAAAACCACTCTAAAGTTACTGTCCCCATCTTGAGCTCTCTTCTGTCAAATGGAACAAAATCTAAAATGTAATTGCTTATTTCCCTATTTTATAAGTACTTATTTGCCTGTGTTTCTGAAATGGTTTCTACTTCTTACTCCTCACTTATTAGGGGCCAACTTACTTAAATATAATGGAACAGGCTCATTTCTTGCCTCCTTAGCTTGGAAAAGCATTATCTTATAAATAGAGCATATTGTCATATGAGTCATCAGTGCCAGGGAACAACCACAGGCATTAGTTACTCAGGCACCTGTTCCACTGCTTATGGACAACCAGAGTGATGTGGAATGTGTGTGACACTCTAATAAGAGTGCCAAATTCTTATTAGATCTAAACTCTCCCCTAAGAAAACATATTTGTTCTGGCCTTCCCGAACATGTAAAAGAATGTGGCATTCTTCAGTTTCCCTGACTTTGGGAGTATCATTAGCTTGTCTCTAAAATATTAAGAGAGTCTGGACCTTGGAAGAGAGTTCAGACTCTTTCCTGGCTGGAATTTATCCACAAGGCCCCATTACACACACACACGCACACACACGCACGCACGCACGCACGCACGCACAGGCTCCTCCATGGACCTTTGGCTAAAGTTGCAACATGAACCATTTAGATGATGGGAAATCAACTCAAAAATGTTAACTAGGAATGGCCCAAAAGGGTGTGTAAGTGACATTAATAGCTGAGCCAAGTTGTGTAGAATGACTGCATTTCCTTTCTAATGCAAGAACTTTTTCAATCCCTGGGTTAATAATTATTTTTTGGTTTGTTTGTTTGTTTGCATTTACTACTTTTTGTCCAGATCTGTCCTGTGCTTTGAAGTTAGATAGGCCTGCATTCAAATTCTAACGCACTTATTTGACAGTACAGTCTAGGACAAGTAATTCCACCTATGTGAGCTCACTTTCTTCCTCTGTATAAAGTGGGACTAATAAGGCCTATCTCACACGGTTGTTTGTCATCACAATTATATGTGATAAAAGTGCTTACTACAGTGTCTGGCACTCAGTAGGTACTTAATGAACAGTACCTACTGTTCCATGAAGATCATTATTACGGCATATCTCAGAGTTGTTCTTACTATAATAATTACTGCAATGGATCTTTACACTACTTTCTCAACACTCTCACTTGTTTTTTGACAACATTTATAACATAGCCACTTAGGACACAAAGCTAAAGATCACCAAATCAGAGAGGGAATGACTCAGCACTGACCTGATAAGCAGTTCATGCCAACTACATGAGCTAGGCAATCCCAACTCTATTACTCATAGGGTCAAAGAAGAAAACAATTCTGGCCTTTTGTTACCTAGTTTTATTTCCTTTAAACTAACATCAATTAGTTGATATTGCTCAGCTTTTATCAATCTGTCCAATCAGTCTCTCCTGCATACTCGTATTTCAATAAGTTAGTACTCTCCGGTCAAATAAATCGAGCTCTGTGGACACTTATACAAGGCTGCTTAGGTCCTATCAGTGATCCATGCCCCCTGTCAGCCACCCTTCCTTGTGATCATCAAACTTATATGTTAAGAAATAGCTATCACGGATCTCATAACTCATTAAGTGATTAACAAAGAGATTTCTCTTTTGGAAATAATGCTATGATTTTTCTTGATATTTGGCATTTTGACTTTGGAATATAAATTAGTCTTGGTTTCAGCAGCTAATAGGTATTGTGTATTCATGATGGGCCTGGGATTACTCTTCTTTGTCTTATAATATTTAATTACAGCTTCACAGAAGACTTAAAATTCCATTTAACCCCAGGAAAAAAAATGCCTATAACTGTAGTTTATGAAAAATTATTAGTTGTCGTTAATCTTGGTTAATACATTGGATTTTTGAAAATCTGTGGTTTTTAACACATTAGGCTTTTCACCGGGAAGGTGATGCTTACAGGAAAGGCCTGTGCAACAATCAGGCAGCAACTGCACTGCCACACAGTTAAGACCAACATAATTGAGAAGATCACCCATGGAATTTGCTGGATTGTGAAATTTGCTTTTTGAAAAGAAAATATCACGTAATAGTCAGAGGACAAGTGGCAGCTCCTAGTGACTTCTCATTCCCTTGGGCCTGAGATTATGATTTCTCCTCACCTAACCTGCCACCCTCCACTCAGAATTTTAAGAAACCTGGTTGAATTGTATAAAAATTCTTACTGATTTATTTCTGGCATCATTTAGCTAGCATTAACATTAATTAATCCTTTCTATAAGGACATGTGTGTAAGCACAGGCACACACAGTACAGTGTTCCATTGGCCTAAGAAATAAAATCAATATACACATAGCAAATATTTGAGTTGCATTTATATAAGCAATTAATTTATGGCAAAAATTCCAATCACAACAATTTCAAGGACCCTGAAGGAGAAAATATCATGGTATTTTAAAAACAAAACCCTGCTTTTCTAAATGGAGGACTGTTTTTGTAGATAAAACCCTAATCCAATACTCTTTTTTTCCTGTATCAAGCTTTCTCCCTCTTTATAACTCATACCTAACTCTGATACACCCAATTTTTCAATGTTGTTTATTAAAGATATACCATTTTCCATAATAAAAAAAAAGACTCCGTCCAAATGGCTATTCTTTGTGGGAATAATAGGAAGAACTGAAGGTGTAGTGTTTTGTTTTTAAGGTTTTCAGCCACACTGCACCTAACAGGGTTTAACTAACATAATGCAAAACTTGAGATAAAAATAGCAGTAATTGGTTTACATATATTTTTAATGGCATGGCGATTACCTGATCAACTGGAATCTCCACTTGAGTGTCTTCATCTTCTTGGACTTCTGCTGCCCCCCGTGTTTCAGATCTCTCTGCTCCAGCTTTGAAAATGCCTTCATCTATTATTTGAGACAAATACACAGTGAAATCAAAATCCAATTGTGCCATCATGTGGCTGAATGAAGAAATTACAATCAAATACCTGATGGTGATTGTTTTTAAGAGGTATTTTGGTTCCCTTTGTATTGATAGGATTTTTGTAGACCCCTCCCGGAAATTATTCTACGTTTTCACTGGGAATAGGTTGAATGGCCAAAACGAGGCTGGCCCAGCAGAGTAGAGATCTGTCCCAGGCTCCTCCTCATATGTTGGCTCTGATTTAACAACACAAACTAAAGGTATTTGGATGGAGAGAACTTCACACTTATTATCTCTGTTCCCCCTTCCTGTCCATGAAACAGTGATAATGCTTAGTGCTTTAAAATACTATTTTTATAAGTTTTTCTTTCCCAAGAGAATGCTATGCATTGAATATACTGGAATAATTTTCTCTGTTCAGAGTAATAGAAAAAATATTTTTACTGCAACAGAATCATAGAGCCGACTCCACATTGCATACAAATCTTTTAGTTTGAAAATTTCCACAGGATATTTTACAATCTATGTTTTAAAATCTCTAACTATAAATGTAACCTGAATCTCTAAAACTTTACGTTAAGCTCCTTTGACTTGCTTTCCTATGGAAGCAACAGGAGCGATTTTCCGTATTTGAAGTGGTTTTAATGTCTTACCCCTCAGTCTTCTCTTCTCCAGGCCCACGAATCAAAAAATCACAGAACCAAGGGTCATTATGTCTACCTACTTGCCTCAAGACAGGTGTAATGCTTCAGTCACTCGCAGATGCTTTCTCTGTACCATTTTTAAGGATCTCCAGGGATGGAGATTTCACCTCTTTCTTGACAATCTATTGCACTATTTGTTACTCCCACGGTCTAAAAATTTGTTTTTATCTTTTGCCTTAAAACCTCCTTTATTTCTCCAAAAAATGCTTAATTTCCCAGAGCACAGTTATTGAACATATTTCACATAATACTTCATGTTGTTAAAGAATAGAATCATTCTTAATTAAATGTAAAATATATTTTTACATTTACTGAAGGCTAATGATACGTAAGGCACAATGGGACACCCTACAATGTAAGTGGGTTGCAGAGTGTTCCCTGAAGTCACCTAGGGACTAGTGAGTAAATAGAGATGTAAATACAAGGGGGGCTGTCAATAGGCCAGGGCTATAGCCAAGCACTGTGGAGGCTTAGAAGACACCCCTCCCCCAGGCGGGGGAGGGGGGATGCAAAACCAAACTCAGCTCCTCTTTGTTTCTCCTAAAGAAACCACTTTCCTTTTTAATTATTATTATTTTTTTGTAACTTGACTGGATGATGGCTTCTCTACTCTCCTTTTTAAAAACTGGGGATAGCAGAGCTACCCTCACAGCTGATTCTACACTTTAAATTAATTCACATGGATTAATTCATTTTTAAGATAATCTACAGCAACCATTCAATCCCAGATTAGATTTTCCTATCCTTCAACAAAATATTTTATCTTTCTTTCCACCAGGTCTTGTATGTTTAAGCAAAGCAAAGCAATTTTTCATTCACTAGAAGGGCCTCGGTTAAATCATCTTACACGTACACGTAAACTGCAAATGTGCGCACACAGCAGGATACACTACAAAACCATCACCAAATGGTGACTTCAGCACTGGCAGCTATTCTGCAACTAACCCCCGAGGACTAGGCCCACACGGCATGTCCAAGGATTACGTCCTGGCTCCGCTGCTTCTTACAACTGAGGACGTGGATCCAAAATGAAACTGCAGCCAAAAGCTCCGTGACACCAGAAGAAAGAACAGAGTAAAGAAAACGGAGTGGGGTGATGGTCCCACATATGCGGCCTGGAGTGAAAGCCGAGCTCGCCGCGCACCCAGCAAGGCGCAGGGAGGGACGCTCCACGGGCCAGTCACACTGCGCTCAATTACCGTGTCCCGAAGGAGGACCCTGCAAGGGAGGGATCCACGCCCGTGAAACGGGCATCCAAAGGATAGGGTAAGCTGATACATGTCTCTCCATCAGATTCTGGAACTTGGAACTTAAGAAAATAATAATAGGAACTGTAAAAAATAAATTCTGCTCTATTCACGGGTGGAGTTCATAAGACTGAGCTGTGCAGTGACTGCATGAACTACTTTCAGGAAAGGGTTATGCAACTTACCAGCTGTTACCTCCAAAATGGGTGAAAGAGGGAAATTAGGTATGTCTGACATTCACTTCTACCTTCTGAATCACCTGGGAAGGTAACAATCACACTCGCCCGCAATCGTCCCTTGCGTTAACCTTTGGGGCGGCCGTTGGAGCCAGTGGGCTGTACTAGCCATGGCCTGTGCACATGACTTTCCTGGACGCATTTTCACATCCAAGTGAGACGCTTGCTTCCAAAGAGACTACAGAGAGAAACCGTCAGATACCACAGAAATGTATTCCTAAATACTCGCATTCAAAGAAAGGTTTAACTGTGTCCAAGCAGGGCTGTGAATGGCGTGCAGATGTGTTTCAGAATAAACATTTCACCAGGAAAAAAACAGTATGCTTGGTAATCACAAATAAAATAGAACCGAAAGGGCTCTGGAATGGAAAATGGCAGCCGTGAGGATACAAACGGCAGAGAGCAGAGCCCAGCGCTGGGCACAGGGGCCCAGAGAACACGGAGGCGAAAGGGCCTGGCTGGGGCGCGGGGAGGGTCCCGCTCCTGGGGAGCGGAGCCCTGGGGGCCGCCTTCCTCAGCAGCGCAGGCAGAAACGGGGTCGGAGAGAGGTTCACAGGGTATTGAACACTGAGGAAAAGGGGGGCACAGCTAGAAAGGTACCTTGTGATAGAAGAAAGCTTATTAGGATTTAAATGTTTAACTATAAATGCTATATAAATTTAAAAATAGACTAACAGGAATATCTAGGGAAAATATTTTAAATAGCATTTTCTGATTATAAATACGTTTATGTAATACGTATGCATTTTAGAAAACTTGGAAGATGAAGAAAATAAACATCCTTCTAATCTCGTGACCCAGAGATACCCACTAATAGTTTAACAACTGGCATTCTCTCCCTCTCTTCCTCCCTCCCTCTCTCTCTCTCCCTCTCTCTCTCTCACACACACACTCATAAAAGTGGGATCATATCGTATATATAATTTTTAAAGTTTTTTTCAACTTTAAAATCATACCGTGAACATTTCCCATGTTAATAAATATTATTTTAACACATAATAAATTGCTGCATGTAGTGGTACCAGGCTGTAATTAGTGGACAGTACTGAATAATAAAAAATAGGAGTTTTTACATTAATAGGGTAGATTTCATTCATTCGATTGACTGGCAAATACAGTGGGTCCTTGAATAACACCGTTCATTCAATGTCGTCGTGTTATAATGCTGATGAGGGAAAAACACTGGTTACCTGCTGGGGCCACTGTCTGGGTGGAGTGTGCACATTTGCCCCATGTCTGCCTGGGTTTTCTCCAGGGGCTCTGCTTTCCTCCCACGTCCCAAAGATGTGCGTGCTGGGTTCACTGGTGTGTCTGAAAGGCCCTAGTCTGAGTGAGGGTGGGTGTCGGTGGTCCTGAGATGGAAGGGTGGGTCCCCCCTTGCATCCTGACCTGCCGGGGAGGCACTACACCCTAAACCCTGAAGTGGAATTAGTGGGGTGGAAAATAGTGATCTGACTTGTTTTCATTCATCTTTCTTAAAAGTACGTAGAGCTCACATTTATTTCAATGTTTAACATTTGAAGTGTTTTTGGTCTTTATTTAGAAGTTTGGTGATGTTTTTGTGACCAGAAATATGCCATAGGATCCTAACTCTTGTTTCTATCAGTGAAGACTATGGTCTAATTGGTTTCATTATGTTGTTCTGCTTCAAGTTGCAGGTACCAGTTCTGCCCCCCTCGCCCCAAGCTCTTCAAGCAGAGACCATAACTGTTGTCTTTTCAAGTTCTGGCCCTTGATGCACGATGTCAGCCACAAAACAGGTTGTAAAAAGATGTGTTAAAAAAACAACACCTAATATACAAAACATTTTGTAAACACCAAATTTTTGGCATTGTCTAAAATTGTTATTTGTAATAGAACTTGTATGTGTACATACCTCATCTAGGGCCAAGATGAGTGAGCCAACATAAACGCTCAAAATTATGTGAACATTCAATATGAAAGTTCAAAGGCAGGTCGTAACACCACAAAGTTAAAATTACTTAACACCAAAGAATTGCCAACAAGCTCAAACTACAATGGAAAAGAATTTGAAAGATACAATAAGAGTATGTTCCCCTTCTGTCAGTGCCACAGTAAAAAGCAACTAAAGACACACTCCATGAAAGAGGCAAAGGTAAAACATTAAAAATTTAAAACCCCTGCTCACAAGGATAGATTCCACAAGAAATTTGCAAAAATATTAAGTTTTTCATCAAGGGCAATATTATTCAAGCACTTCAAAACCTTACCACTTTCCCTTTATTATTACTGCTAATAAACTCCCACAGTAAATTGGTGAATTTAGATCATAATGAAAATTGTTATGTGCAATGATTGCATAGTTATTGCTATAGATACTTCAGACATTCTAATAACAACTCACTAAGGGAAGAAACCTCCAATGAAACATGGAATTAGTTTTAGCATCACTGTTTCCATCCCTCACCCACACAATTTCCCCCATACTTTGTAATCCAACTTCTGGAGCGGCACCCCATAAGGACTCCTCTTGTCAAAATTATCAGTGGCACAATGATCATCTTTATGTTCACATCTTTCACTACTTCTCAATCTCTCAGCAGCTTTTAATACAGGCCATCCCTCCCCCATCCTCTGTGTGCACACTTCTGTCCATCTGCCCATTTCACTTGCCTGGTTTCAGCAGTATCATCAGCTGCTGCTTCTCAGTCTCCTTGGCCAACCCACCCTCCGCTGTTCAACTTCTAAGTGTTGTATCACCCCAGAGCTGCATCATGGGCCTACTCCGATATTTATACACTCTTCTTAGATAATCTCATCAAGATCATGGTTT